TATGACACGAACAGCATCAACAAGGACAGCCCCCTGAAACTGCTGCATCTGTTCCTCACAACCCACTTCACCTTCAACGACCATATATTTAAACAAATCAACAGAATACCAATGGGATTCCCGATATCAGGACTGATTGCAGAAGCAGTAATGTAAAGATTAGAATGGTCAGCGCTCCTCACTATACAACCCAAACCCTGGGTCCGATATGCAGATGACACCTTCATGATTATCAAACACAAGACTAGAAAAAACCCACCGACACATAAACAACATCCTCCCTGGAATAAAATTCACAAAAGAAGAAGAGAACAATAACTAACTACCCTTCCTAGAGATAATGGTAGAATGTAAGAACAACGGGGATCTCCAGACTAGTGTATACAGGAAGACCACACACACAGACCAGATACTTAATTACACCAGCAACCACCCCAACACCCATAAACGGAGCTGCGTCAGGACATTATTCAAATGGGCCACAACACACTGCAGCAACCCGGAATTGTGCAAAGCAGAACTGGAGCACTTATACGGAGTTTTTAAAAGGAATGGATACCCAAAAAGCACAATCCACTGTTACCTCTGCAACAGACCACAACAAGAAGACACAACATGGTCAGACACACTAGTCACCCTCCTGTACATCAGAGACATTTCAGAGATGACCACAAGACTACCAAGTCCCTTAGGTATCAGAGTGGCCCACAAACCAACAACCACCCTGTGACAGCTACTGATGAATGTAAAGGACCCCATACCAAAACCAATAAAACTAATGTAATATACAAAATACCATGCAAGGACTGTGAGAAACATTACATCGGCCAATCTGGAAGTAAGATGACAATAAGGATACACGAACACCAACTACCCACCAAGAGATACAACCAATTCTCACTGGTCTCAATACACATGGACAAAGAAGGACTTGAATTCGACTGGGACAACACATCCATAATAGCATGAGCTAAACAAAGTCATGTCAGGGAATTCCTGGAGGCCTGGCATTCCAACTGGAACTCCATCAACAAACACATTAAACTGGACCAGATATACAAACCACTGAAAAACAGAACTGGAAGTGATGCCAATCACCCCAGCAAACCGAGGCATATAAGTAACAAGTGGGACGGAACACCAACACTTCACTGGAGGCACACTGATAATGTTACCTAGCCGGGTGACAAAATGTCTGCAACCAAACACACCAGCTCGGTGAGCAAGTCTACAACCACATATGTTGTACTCCCTCCAAGGCCAATATATTCTTGCTAAGGTGTGTAGCTTTATAAGACTTTGGTTCGGCCACACTTAGAGTATTGCATTCAGTGCTGTTCACCATATTACAGGAAGGATATGGAGGGTGCAGAAGAGGTTTACCAGGATGCTACCTGGATTAGAGGGTATAACCTATAAGGCGAGACTAGAAAAACTCAGTAGCAGAGGCTGAGGGGAGACTTGATAGAAGCCTATAAAATTATGAGATGCCTAGATAGGATTGACAGTCAGAATCTTTTTCTCAGAGTTGAAATGTCTAATACTAGTTGGCATGCATTTAAGGTGAGAGGGTAAAGTTCAAAGGAGATGTGATGGGCAATTTTTTACACTCACAGTGGTAGGAGTTTGGAATGTGCTGCCAGGGGTGGTGGTGGAGACAGATAAGATTGGGGCATTTAAGGGATTTTTAGATAAGCACATGAATATGCAAGGAATGGAGGGATATGGACCAAGGGCAGGCAGAAGGGTTTAGGTTAATCTGGCGTCATGTTCAGGACAACATCGTGGGCTGAAGGGCCCATTCCTTTGCTGCACAGTTCTGTGTGTGGTGTCCAGACATGCTCATAGTGCTCCAAGTGGAGTCTGATCTGGGTGTTGAATGGCAGCAGTATAATTTCTGCAAATTTGTACTCCAATCCTGTAGGTATAAAGGACAGTATTCCATTAGCTTTCTTGATTATTTTCTGCATCTACTGTGATATTTTAAATATCTATTCACTTGAACTGCCAATTCACTTTGAAAATCCATTCAATTTATCTTCATACCATCTAGAAAGTATCCTGATCTATCCTTTTTCAGTCCAAAATGGATAACCTCACACTTGCTTACACTAAGTTCCATTTGCCACAGTTTTGCCCATTCACTTAGTCTGTCAATATCACTTTGTAATTTTATGCTTTCACCTACATTGTCTACAATGCCACCTGACTGTGTGTCATCAGTAAATGACATTCCCCTGTCCTCTACCTTTGTCATCTCTTCAAAAAATTCATGAGGTTTATCAGGCATGGCCTATGTGTTATGAATCCATGCTGACCCTACCTGATTAACCAGAAATGTTTGAGGTATTCAGTTAACCCATCTTTGATTACAGACACCAGCAATTTCCCCACCACTGATGTTGGGCTTAACTGGTCTGCAATTCCCTGGTTTTTGTCTTTCGTCCTTCTTAAAATTGCAATTTTCTAATCCAGAGGGACAACTCCTATATGTAGGGAATTCTGAAAGTTTAGAGCTTGGGCATCTACAATGTGCTCCCCTACTTACTTTAACCCCCTTGAATTGACAGCATTGGGTCCTGGGGATTTGTCACTCTCTAATTCCATTTATTTCCTCATTATTGATGTATTATTCATGTTAATTTTATTCAGTCCCTTTTCACCCATCAACTATTAATTTTCTTAAGACTTCAGGCCTGTTTCTACGGTAAATACTGAGGCAAAGCCATTTTTCAACATGTCTGTCGTTTTCCCATAGTTATTCACAATGTTCCCATTTTCAGTCTTTATTGAACTAATATTGCTTCTGACTACCTACTTTCCCTTTGAAATCAGCATTGATTTTGATGTCCCTAGCAAGATCCCTTTCAGTGGCTCTTAGAAGTTAAAAAGTTATGCAGATAGATTGAAGTAAGCTACAGGGAGGCAATGGCCAAGCTGTATTATCGCTAGACCGTTAGGCCAAAAACTCAGCTAACATTCTGAGGAAACCAGGTTCGGATCTTGTCTTGGCAGATGGTGGAATTTGAATTCAATGAAGAATCTGGAATTAAGAGCCTGATGATGACCATGAAGCCATTGTCGACTGTCAGGAGTCCTATTTGGTTCACTAATGTCCTTTATGGAAGGAAACTGTTATTTTTACCTGGTCCAGCCTACATGTGACTCCAGACCCACAGCAATGTGGTTGACTCCTAATTGCCCAGAGGGCAGTGAGGAATGGGCAATAAATGCTGGCCTAGCCAGAAGCACCCACAACCCATGAGTGAGTCTAAAAGAAAGACTTGTATGTAAACACCAGCATAGACCACGAAAATGAATGACCTAACTCCAATTTGCAAATTCTACAGAATGTATGGTTTTCCAACCATCAACTCCATTACTGGGACTTCTTAGATACATTTTTCTTGGGAAAAAGAAACATTTTACTGCCAGATTGGCCCATGGTCAAGGTAAACTCAGTTATTTGTCTCCCAGCAGGGAACCTCACTGAAAAGGAGCAAGAGTTGTAAATGTGTACAAAACTGCCATACATGTAATCTGCTCATTTGTTTCAGAGGTTGGGGGAGTGGGAAGTGGCTATTACTACTAGCAATATGAGAGCCCCCTGAATTTTCCTGTTAAGTAGTGGGAAAGTAAAGTAATTGAAAACAATGATGAGCCATTTTGCATTAATCTATATCACTTCCTGCAGGATGCAGATTTAATTAGCTGCAGTTCTATATTTCATTAACATTGGAAAAACAAGAATAGTTTTTTCCATGGTATAAGAATTGCCAAGGTCAGTCATAATCGGTTGAACTGCTGAAGACTTTTTAATGTGATCCATCAAAGCACCACTTTCAGCATAGCTGAAATTTTCATCCTACTTGATAGCATTCTTCATTGTCACTAACTTGTGCATTTGTACCTAAATCTCAGCCTAACATGAATAATTCTGAATGTTATGTAACTGCCCTTCTTTATTATAGAGATGAAATGAAAATACTTCAACATTCAGTGTTTTTATTTATGGTTGAAATGGTACGTTTTGTAGTATTGTGATCTCAGCAGATGAGTTTTGGACTAACTTCAGCATCTGTGCAGCCCTAGGCAACTGTACATTAGAGGAAAGCTGCAGTGTTGAAATAATGTGAGGAGTTTGTATTGTCAGTTTGCTTTAAATCAAGTGCTGCTTTGGGCTAATTGTGATGCCATGCTCCTGTCCTGAGAGGAATATATTAAATTTGTCCCATTGTCCCCCCCGTCCTAATCAATGTCTTGATCTTTGACTTGTTTTGGATGCCATCAGTGTATTTGTTGCAGTCATTTCTGAAAGAGCAATTATGCTGCTTTCATGATATTGCATCATAGGTTTCTCTATAAGGCTCAGTTTGCTTTACTTGATGACTTGAACAATGGACGAGTGATTGAAAAATGAGCTGATGTGGCTGTGCGTGAATCAGGAGGAATTCCAAATTGAAATAAAATAGGGATGTTTGTCCCCAAATTGTTGAAGGATATTAATACTTAGGGGTTCTACAAGATGCCAACTTTGACTAGATGTAAGATCTTAGAGTTTATTAAGAAGGGATGTAATTTATAAGCTCTTTGTCCTTACTTATGTTATCACTTGACCGTGAATCCCAATGCTTGTGTTGAATAAGATGTATCCAAATTTTTCTTCTTTATAGTTGAGAACTTGTAAACATGCAAAACAAAAGTGCACCTTAGCCATATATAAGATCAAGAACCAAGTTGTGAGGGAGATTTGTGATGAGACGTTACAGAGGGTGTTGATGGTGAAGGGAGATTTCTCAGCATGGATGTGCCTTTCCCCAAAGCCTGAACACCCCAATCATCGAATATCCACATGTGGAGCCTAAATAACATAAATTGGTAGCAGTCTTTCTATTAATTATGTGATAGAAGCATGCTTGGCTCTTAATTTTATTTGCATTTCACTTACAAAACTTTTGGGTACACTATTTTGACTTTATTTTAATATTTTTATTTTGCAGTTTGTTAGTGAGAAAATGGGTGGAGCTGAAGGAACAAAACTAGATGAGGACTTTGTAGAAATGGAACGGGTAAGTAAAGGTGATTCTGGGTAAGATTTGTAGCGAGGAACAAAAATTAACCAGTCCATGGTCGACCACAGTGAATATGTTTGAAGTATTTTATCTAATTTAAAGCACAATCCTGTTGATTGTAAAACATGCATTTTATTTTTCAAATGAGATTTGAAAAATTGAAGTTCTTAAACTAAAGCTAAGAAGGTGATTTGATGGATGTCATAGAATTTCTGAAGGTTTATCGTAAGGTGAATAATGATGGATTTGTTCAATTGTCTGATGAGATGGTAACAAAAAGGATCGAATTTAAGAGAATCTCAAAGGGAACCGAAGGAAACCTTAAAAAAAATCTCAGTTTTTTTTACATAGTCAGTGGTTAGAGTTAGAATGTGGCTAGAATGAACAGTGTCGATAAATTCTTCAGTTGGGATTAAACAGTAATTTGAAGATCAAGAATAATGAAGGATGTGGAAAGTAATTAGGAGTTTGGAATTCAATGAGACAGCTTATGTGGAGAAAGACACCAGCAACGGTTGCTGGCTCTTTAGTTAATGTTACATTTTGTAGTTAGGTGCATTCACTAATAAACAAGATATAACAAGAATGTTTGTAATACTGACTCAAACGGGCTTATTACAAAACATAGAGCGCCATCTGCTGTCTGATTTATAAAGAATTTCAAAGAGCAGGTTACTTTAGAAACATTAGTTTTCGGTGAGGAGAAATTATTATACTATTGCTAAAGATACTTTTTGCAAAATCTGCACTCCGAATTCATTCCCCAACTGATAAAGGTAAAAATATCGACTTGAATTTAAATAGTAGTAAAATATCTCAAAGCGCTCACAGGGACATTATCAAATTTTATCTGCTAGCAAGTCACATCAGAGATTTAAAGACATGTTTTAAGACAGGAGAGAAAAATGAGAAGAGCTGAGGCCTTAAATAACTGATGACATGACTACTATGACAGATAATTGGAAATTGAGCACGCTCAAGAATTATAGGAGTGCTGCATGTTTCTAGAACTCTATCTGCTACAAGGTGCTGCTTGAGAATGCTCCAGGTTAATTGAGGCAATTCCCCCTCAAGTATCTGCTCTAGGTTTCATTTGCTTAGCACAGCGGCTCGCGTTAGCCTGGAACTTCCTTATCTTTGATATTCACAAAAACCCAAATCCTATTTAAATAGATACATGGAAAATAGTTGCAGGAGTAAACCATTTGGCCCTTCAAGCCACCACCCACATTCAATATGATCATGGCTGATCATGCAATTTCAGTATCCCACTCCCGCAAACTCTCCATACCTCTTGTTCCCTTTAGCCGCAAGGGCCACGTCCAGCTCCCTCTTGAATATATCTAACGAACTTGCCCCAACAGCTTCCCTTGGTAGAGAATTCTACAGTTTCATAACTCTCTGAGTGAAGAAATTCTTACTCATCTCAGTCCTGAATGGCTTACCCCTTATTCTTAGACTGTGACCCTCGGTTCTGACTTCCTCAACATCAGGAACGTTCTTCCCACATCTAGCCTGTCCAGTCCCATCAGGAATTTATATGTTTCTATGAGATACACCCCACCCCCCCACCTCAGTCTTCTAAATTCCAGTGAGTACAAGCCCAGTCGATCCAGTCCTTCCTCATATGTCAGTCCTGCCATTCCAGGAATCAGTCTGGTGAACCTTTGCAGAACTCTCTCAATAGCAAGAATCTTGTCCTCAGACTGGGAGACCAAAACTGCACAAAATACTCAAGGTATGGCCTCAGCAAGGCCCTGTATAACTGCAGCAAGACATCTCTATTCCTATACTCACATCCTGTCACAATGAAGGCCAGCATGCCATTAGCTTTCCTCACCACCTGCTGCACCTGCATGTCAACTGTCAGCGACTGTTCAACCATGACAGCTAGGTCTCATTGCACCTCGCCTTTTCCTAAGCTTCCACCACACAGATAGCAATCTGCCTTCCTGTTTTGGCCACCAAAGTGGATAACTTCACATTTATCCACATTTGCCAAGTCTGACCAAGTCACCCTGCAGCCTCTTAGCATCCTCCTTACAGCACACACTGCCACCCAGCTTGGTGTCATCTGCAAATTTGGAGATATTGCATTCAATTCTTTTGTTCAAACCGTTAATGTATATTATGAACAGCTGGGGTCCCAGCGGTGAACCTTGTGGCACCCTGCTCATCACTGTCTGCCACGCTGAAAAGGACCTGTTTATTCTCTGCTTCCTGTCTGCCAACAGGTTCCCTATTCCATGTCAATACATTCCCTCTGATAACATGAGCTTTAATTTTGCTTACTAATCTCTTCTGTGAGACCTTGTCAAGAGCCTTTTGAAAGTCCAGATACACAACAGCTACTGATTCATCCTTGTCCACTCTATCGGTGACATCCTGAAAAAATTCCAGAAGATTTGTCAAGTATGATTTCCCTTGAGTGAATCCATGCTGACTAAGACTGATCCTGTCGCCACTTTCCAAATGCTCAATTATATCCTTAATAATTGACTCCAGCATTTGCCCCACCACCGATGTCTGGCTAAGCGGCCTATAATTCCCCAGTTTCTCTCTGCATAAGCATTGCCATCTCAGTCACTTAACTGAACATAATTAAATTTGCAAATGTTCCCCAGAAGAGATGGAATCTAACTGGAGCATGCCCAAAAGTGTTTGTGTGGTTTAATTTCTATTGCTGATAGTTGCTGTACTTCCAGTTTCTATAGTGGGAGCATTCACTGGCAGATTGTAATTGTTTATCAGTTCCTCTTTCAACATTTTTAGTCTGAAAGTCCTCCAAGTAAACTAATATCAGAAATGCAGAAAAATTATTTACTGAACTTACCAGGTATTGATGCTGGGTGACTATGTTTGTTTCTGCAGCTTAGAAAGCATGATGAGATTATTCAATTATTTTTGACTGCTCCTTTAAGAAAACACAGTTGTAACTACTGTCAGAAGTACTTTGGATTTATTTTGTTTTTTGAGACGGGATATTTATCTTGAATGAATTTATCAGCTGACTATTGACTGTCCCTTAAATTAAGGGCCACTTAGGATTGTGAGTTTCTGCACTCGCCAATTCTGGACCCGTCAGTCTTTGGACACATGGAGCAGGATGTCGCATGAGGTAGCAGGATCCAGAGTGCAAGATTTTCTTCCTTGTTTTTTCCTTCCTCCCTGCTGCTGCTCTGCCACATCATGAAGGCCTTTGGATTCAAAGCACAATGCAGCTTGAAGGACAAATTCTCACCACTCACTTCGTGGCGAGCTCCTCCCACCTATTAATGCCAATACCACTGAGCTTCAAGGAGAGCTCCGTAGTCTCCATAAATGTTACCATTCGCACCATTAAAATGAAACTAAACTCAAAGCTGTAAACTTTTACAGTGAGCACATTCTGTAAAATGAAAACCTGTCTTTGAAACTTTTTATTTATCCTTCCATAAGACTTTGGAGCAGAAGTGTAGGCTATTTGGCCCAATGAGTCTGCTCTGCCGTTCAATGAGATCAGGGCTGATTAGATAATCCTAAACTCCACTTTCCTGCATTTCCCCCAATATGCTTTATTCCCTTATTGATTCAGGTTTGTCCATCTTAGCCTTAAATGCATTTAAAAACCCAGCCTCGACAGTCCTCTGTGATAATGAATTCCACATATTGACTACCATCAGAAGAAAAAAAAAGTCCTGCTCATCACTGTCTTAAATGTGTGATCTCTTGTTCTGAGATTATGCCCTCTGGTCTGTACTCTTCCACAAGGAAAAATGACGTCTCCTCATCTACTGTCTCAAGCCCCCTCAGAAACTTATATATTTCAATGAGATTGCTTCTTATTTTTTGAATTCCAATGAGTACAGACCCAGTTCAATCAAACTGTCCTCCTAAAACAGTCCTTTCATACTGGGATCAACTTTTATGAAATTCTCTGGACTGCCTCCAGTACCAGTAATGTTTCCCTAAATAAGGAGACCAACTGCTCAGTTTTCCAGCTGTGGTCTGACAAGTACCTTGTACAGTTTTAGTAGGACCTCTATATTTTTATAATCCATTCCTTTTGAAATGAAAGCCAACAGTCCATTTGTCTTGCCTATTACTCGCTGAACTTGGATGCTAACTTTTTGAGATTTATGCATGAGGACTTTCAAATCCTGCTGTGCATCAGCTTTTGGAAGTATTTCCCAATGAAATAATATTCACCTCTTTTATTCTTCCCACTAAAGTACATAATGTCACAGTTCCCATATTATGTACAATCTAACAAGTTTTTACCTACTCGCTTAATCTGTCTTTGTCTCTCTGTAGACACTTAGTGCCATCCTCGCCACTTGCCTTCCCACCAAATTTTTGTGTCATCCACAAACTTGTGTGATAAATTTCTGTTTTATTGTTAAACCAGATCCGCAGCATTGCGTGCTTGTGTTTTAGTGGAAGACCAGCTCATTAAGTAATAAAATATGATCTGTCAGGCCACATTTCAATCTGGCATTTGACTTGTAATAACGTCAGTTGGGATCATAACGCCCTTTGTTTTTTTTTTGGCTTCTCCAATGGTTGCTGTAGATGTTTGATTTTCCCAAGAAACTGTTCATTTTCAGGCTTGGAGGTGTGATATCTCTCTGTGACTACTCCCTTAGAACACTGATCTTTTGAGAATTGGGAAAACAGGACTTAAGCATGGAAGATGGCTTACCCACCACCCAAACACAGCACCATGTCCATTGCAGGAACTTTGCATGAGTCTTGGAGCTGGCTTCAAGAAAGACCATATCATTTATTCAACCGTCCTGTTATTGGATGATGAGATGGAGATACTGCTGATAGAAATATATAGCACCCCTAAGTATCACTGGTACACAATCCATGCAGTCCAGGAGTGTGGTAACGATAGCTGCAGTATACATGAGATCTTTTGTTGAGTTGTATTTTCTGTCGTAGCCGTGACTTGTGGAAGGCTGACCTGAAGGCAGCTGATCCACTGTTGGATCACCTCGTCAATGATGTGCTGCTCAGGTGTGGGATGCACTCAACATATTCCAGAGTCTGTCCTTCAAATGTGAGAGGTGGAAAATTCAGCTGGCCATCTGGGTTGGGTTGATATGTGTTCTTGTTTTGGAAACAGTCAATGACAGGTTTAGTTACTTGCGTGCAGAATTGAGGAAGTTAAGTCGCTTGCAAATCTTCCAGAGAGAGCAATGATGCTGCATTCATTCGCAATGTGTAGATCATGTATATCTATGGCGGTCAGTTTAGTTTTGGTGCAGAGGTGACTGAAGTTAAAGAATTTTTCATCTAGACTGCACTTTATGCCAATTCCAGAGTCCAGATAATCTTGATGAGGAGCATAGTAACTGTCAAGTAGATTGAAAATAGGATTGGGCGCTACACTTGACTTCATATCTCCCATTCAATAATTGTGGTCATATCATTGGGAAGCCACTGGAGGATTGTGATGAAGTTTCTTGGACACCAAATCTTTAGAGCACAATCCACAGAGCCTCACAGTTAAACCCATTTTGATGAGGTTGATGAATTAATAAAAAAGTTCCTGATGTTGTACTCTTCGTTTTTCTTGGATTTGTTTGTCTGGCAAACATGGTTGTGGGGAAGGTTACTGGTGAAGATCCACACTCTGTGCCTCTGAGAAAATTTCCTTAGCCTCAGAAAGTAGGCAATCCAGGAGTATGTCTGCTAGAATTCTCTCTGCAATGGACAGGAGCAGTATCTTAATAGATTCCACAGTGTTATTAATCTTCCTTTATAATAGTTACAATTGTCACACTCCTGAGTTTTGGTATGAGGAGAGGCGGGTACAGGAGGGTTGTAGTGGATGAATACAATGTGGTGCAAGTACGGCAGGAAAGTTTTGAATGATGCCAGGTTTAGAAGAGGGCAAAAGGTTGTGTGTGTGTGGTGGGGGGGGGGGGTGCGGTGTTGGGTGGAAGCTGGCCACATCTGTATTCATTGCATGGCTTGGCATCTCAGGATGCTGCCTGTTCAATATCTCATGATTTGTGCACTCTGTCTCTCCACACTTTACCTCTACGTGTTTCCCCTGACAGTGTTTTCTGAGCCCTGTTTAACTGGGGTTTTACAGCATTCTACATTAATCTGTGTAGCACAGTCCTAAACCCTCAAGCTGTGAATATATTTCCTAATTTTCAGTGAGTTTTCTACCAAAAAGGTTTGTATTCCTTATGCAGTGATTGTAATGAGGTCAGCCGGGTGGACCTCATAGAAAAGGAGTTCCCTGACTGGGACTATTAATCTGGTCCAATCAGGGAGCCCTGACTGACGGATGAAAAGGGGAGTGTCACAGATACTGCCATTCTGAGAGCTAATTCTGAATGAGGCAGTACTAAAGACAAGGACTGTTCATGTGTAAATAAAGGGTGACTTGGTGATGAGATACCAGCCTCCATGGAGTTATTTCACCTTATTTTCTGTTTTAGACAATAAGAAATAGGAACAGGAGTAAGCTTTCAGCTCCTTTTGAGATTACTGATTCAGTAGGATCATAGCATGATGTGACAATTCTGCATGTACTGTTTCCTCCTCTTTTCCCATGACCCTTGATTTCACAACTGATCAAGAATTGATGTCAGCATTAAATATACAGAAGGACTATGCCTCCACAGCTGTCTAAGGGGTTCCAAAGATACTCAACCCTCTGACAGAGAAACATCTTTCTCATCTCAATCTTAAATTAGCTCCCCTTTATTCTGAGACTATGCCCTCTGGCCCTAGACTCTCCTCCAAGGGGAAACATCCTTTCAGCATTTACCCTGTCGAGCTCCTTAAGAATTCTGTATGTTTTAATAAGATTGCCTCTCATCCATCTACACTCCAGTGAATAGTCCAGTCTATTTAGACCATGCTCACAAGACAATCCCTCCATAACAGGGATCAATCTAGTGAGCTTTCTCTGAACTGCCTCCAATGAAATAATATTTTTTCTCCTGTAAGGGGATCAAAACTACCCACAGTACTCCAAATATGGTCTCACCAGCACCTTATACAGTTGCATTAAGACTTCCCTACTCTTATACTCCAACCTCCTTGAAATAAGGGCCAACATTCCATTAGCCTTCCTGATTACCTGTTGCATCTGTGTGGCAGCCTTCTGTGTTTCATGCACAGGTAACCTCCAAGTCCCTTTGTGTTGCAACTTTCTGCAGTTTTTCTCCATTTACTTTTGCTAAGCAACAATAAAGAAACTTAGCATTTAACATAACGGATATAAATATTATGTTGAGTAGATCAGTCTTTTCTCAAGATGACAGAAACAAAACTGAGTGTTGAATGGGGTCACATCACATGTACAGTCAAGGAAACTGCTGTGATTTCCAAGATATAAATTTCTTAAATGAACATCATCTAGGTAAGTACTAAATATAGATTGCTGCACATACCACTAAAGCAATGCTAACTCTGCTGATGTGGAGCATCAACAGCACTTGCACTTTGTATGCTTAGTCACAATATGGAGGAGCTTGATACAAAAGTAGTAACTACATATATCTTTAAAAATTTCACTTTCATACAAAATTTGATTCTTTTTCTCCTATGTTAAGAAAATAGAGGCTACAAGCAAAGCCGTGGCAGAGGTTCTGTCTAAAACTACTGAGTACTTGCAGCCAAATCCAGGTATGAAAGGTTTTTTTTTAAGAAAATGCTGTTTCCCGTTGTGACTTCCTATTTCAGTGCTTTTTGGTGAAAAGAGCACTTTTCTTTAGTGCGAGGCTAGCTGGCAGAACGAATTGAGAATTCACCAGCAGAGCAGAATGTTTCAATAGGTAAAGTGAGTGGAATCTTGCCAGATGTAATTTAGTGTAACAAAACCTGATTTATTAAATTTTGGATGCAAGTATGGCAGATAGGATTACAATCTAAACGGGTAAGCTCCAGGGCAGTTATTTACGAACAAAAGGATTTAGGGGTCTAGAAACACATGCCAATGCAACTAAACCTGCAAGATTAAAAAGAAAACAAGACATTGAGGTTTAATATATGCATTGTAATCTATGAAAAATAACAAAGCTGAATTACAGATCTACATGGTGTTAGTTAGAACTTACTTAGAATTTTTAGTTCAATTTGGGCTGTCATGCTTAGAATATATTATACATGAAGTAAATCATGTGACCATCTACTAGGGTAATAGGTCAATTCAAAAATTGAGGCAGTTTCTTGCAGTGTGAATGAATGCCTTCTAGTTGAGAAATCTTAAAGCTTTTTTTTTCGCAAGGCTCGGGAGAAGGCAACTGTTCAGAGCAGAGAAATACTTGGGCAGTATGAGTTTGATGAGAAATGGAGCAAAGACGTGGAATTTGGCTGAAACCGATAGAGCTGCTATTGCTCTGACAATATCTTCCATTTGTTTCTGTTACTCATTTCTCAGATTTGGCCAGTATTGCTGTGAAACCATTCACTAACACAAAGAGCTCCAGCTGGTCTTCAGGCAATTTTCTATCCCTCTGAATGGAGAAACTTTAGCCTGTAAACAGCACTGACCCACAGCAATATGGCAGGATAAGGATCTTGATATGTCTCAGATCATGGACACAGATGAGTGGTGCTTTAGCACTCATGCTTTATGCATTATGCAAGAAACATACGCAGGACAATTACAGATGTCCATATAAATGAATATTTCAATTCGCTAAACAAGCTATCGTCATATTCGCTCATTTTGTGCATGTTTCCCCTAACAATGTGAGTTTGAAGAAATTATGGTTACAGCTTTAACTTGGAATGCGTTATAAAACGGACAGTATCAAATCAGCCACCCATTGATTACCTGCCCAATTTGACTTTCCATTGACTTCAGTGGAAAGCAAAACCAGTGTTATGACCAGATACCATGCAACCCAACTTTGTTATGTTTCCAAGTGGGATGCCCCATGCTGCAGGGTGAGGAGGGATGAACTGGCTCCTTTTTTTTAATTCATCTGCCCTCTTGGTTGGTCACAACAAAGGTAATTTAGAAAAGACGCCTCTCTTATCAATGCCTTTCTCCCAAACCAACTGAATTTATGTTTTAAAAGGAACTAATTTGGTACGGTTTTCTTCAGTTAACAAAAGAAAGTCTGTTAGTAACTAAATAAGAGAAGAAACAATAATTCACCACAGATTAGAAGGAGAAGTGATTCCAAAAAAAATGCAGTTGATTTCAGGATTCTTGGTTTTACAGATTAGTTGAAATTTGTGTGTGCTGTTTCCTTCTGACTGTGGCTGGCAACTAACACCCATGATGAGGTAGCCCTTCTTTTGTCCCGTTTAAATTTGACTGGCTAGCTGACTTCTAGCACTCGGAGCGAGAAATTTTTACCAGTAACGTAAGGGTGACTAGAGATGGATCTTTGACCATGACCCTCACAACACACCAGTGCTCAAATCCAGGTTAGTACACATCAGTACCTCAGCCCATCGGCACACTTAGCCTCTCTGCACATGGGCACACTTCTTCCATTACCATTCACGGACAAGGGCAAGCAATGGTTTTTAACCCCAGTTCTTGTGTATTCTAGAAAGGGGAAGACAAAAAGCATGTCTCTCATGCAGACTGTTGTCTTTTCTCCTGTCATGTCTGAGATAATTCCCAGAAGATTCCTGTTCACTTTGTAGCACATTTCTTCCTTTAACTCCATCTCCTCAGTGCTTCTTTAGCATCTCATCTGGTGTGGCATTCCAGGTTCTCCCTCTCCATACAGCCACTGAATTTATATCTACAGTCATTTTTTTGACTGCGTAGCCTTCTTAAAGCCAGCACGTGTTGTAATTAACAGTTCAATATGTCTGTAAGTGCTTCAAGTCAACATGACACCAAAGAATGCTGTATAATGGGCAGAAAATTGAATATTGACGCCATTTATACAATTGCTAAATATTTCCACCATACCTTTAAAACACAGCTTCTGCTGACTTTAGGGTTTTAAAATAAAATGATTTCCTTATAATTAGGAGAACTGCATATCATTTCTTAAAGTTTGCTTCTGGTAAATACATAACCCTGGGTAACTCCTCCCATCTTTAGCTGGGAAAGCCCTGCCCTCTGGAAGTGTTCATCAGAACTTCAGTCACGTGCTGCAAAATCTTCCTACCTTTAATTATAAACATTCTGAAAATTATGCATGTGTAGCCAGCAGGCAAAGCTCCCAATCAGTAGTGCCATGTCTGAGATTTGTGTATTAATGATCAGTTGTTAAGCAAAACAAAAGCATCTGAAAGCCCCAGGATAATTATGGATTTCTGTGCAGAAATATATTTGACATATATGTGACATCTATATGTCTATATTTGACATCTCACATTGAAATTTACAGGTTACATTAATGTCTTTTAAATGATTAATGTCATTTTGAAGCCTACAGAGCCAAGTTAGGTATGCTGAATACAATGTCAAAGATCCGGGGACAGGTGAAAACAACAGGTTATCCTCAGCCTGAAGGTCTATTGGGTGAATGCATGCTCCGAAATGGAAAGGACCTCGGAGATGACTCCAATTTCGGTGGGTTAATCAGTGTAATGTAGAACACAGGTATCCACTTATTTATTCGCGAATATTACTGTTGTGATTACATATTAGGGGCCACATCAGTAACTTGATGTGGCAAAGATTTTGCCAAGAATCTCTTGCATTTTATCTTTGGTGTGGTTGTGAACAAAATGGATGCAATTAATTTATTCAGTTAGCAACTTCTTAAGAGAGAAATAATTTGTTTGTAAATTATTTTTGCATTTATTTGTCCAATTGTAATTCCGTGGCAGTGGTTTTTAGGTGGGTGCTTTTCTAAGGATTTTAAAAAGCTGAGTAGTAAACTTACAAAATGATTGAATTTGAAATCTCTTCCAGACATTCCTTTCTGTTGGATTTGCTTTTTGTTTAGATTTCGTGCCTTTCTGTCTGATTTTCTTAGGTCCTGCATTAGTTGATGTCGGCGAAGCACTAAAGCAAATGGCAGAAGTCAAGGACTCCCTTGACATTGATGTAAAACAGAACTTTATTGATCCATTGCAAATTTTACAAGAAAAGGACTTAAAAGAGATTGGGGTACGTTTGCGTTGCACTTTTTTAAAAAAAAAAAGTTTATTTTTAAATGGAATTGTTTTAATGATCAAAACCATGAGTAATGACAATACCGTAATTTACTTCTGATTCACTGAGTGTTGCTTCTATCTACAAAGATAGATTTGCAAGCTTCCACCAGTTCCCTCTTGTGCCTTTATTTATTCCACTGTTTAACCAGTTAAATAGGTGGCACAGTGGCTCAGTGGTTAACACTGCTGCCTCGCAGCATCAGGAATCCAAGTGTGGTTCAACCCTCAGCTGACTATGTGGAGTTTGCACTTTCCCCCCCGTATCTGCGTGGATTTCCTCCCACTGTCCAAAGATGTGCAGGTTAGGTGGATTGGCCATGGGAAATTACCCACAGTGTCCAGGGATGGGCAGGCTAGGTGGGTTAGCCATGGGCAATGCAGGGTTACAGGGATGGGGTAGGGGGCTGCTGGATCTGGGTGGGATGCTTGTCGGAGGGTTGTCGTGGACTCGATGGGCCGAATGAGGATTCTGTGATTCTATGAAAATCTCTCACAAGGTTGGGAGGGTAGTTTTGACCGCAGAAAATGAGTTAGCTGTGGTCAGGTGAGATGTTAAAGTGTTAAACTTCTCAAATCCCACTTGCACCTGGCTTACCAGAGGCAGAACAGGTGGCCGCAGCCAAAGCTGTGTTTCCATTTAAGTAATGTTGGCCATCTCACATTTAAGCTAATACGCAGGTTTAACCCTGTTAATACCAGTTGGGTTTCCCAGGCCTCAGGAAACTCAAGAGAGCTAGGGTCAGCTGCAGATGAACGGTAAGGAGTTTACAGCTCTCCTTATGAGCCAAGGGGTAGGGGTCCTCTGCCATCTACCCTCCCTGAACTAACCTCCTTTTCCTGCAGTCAGATCCACCTCCTCCACTCTCAGCATTCCCCCTGACCCCTGCACAGTGCAAATCTGACACCCTCTTAGATCCAACCCTGGCCAGCCACGCTCCCATTAACACAGCGGCGAGTTCCTTATCAAGCTTCATGTAAAGAAATTAGGAGCAATAGAAAAATGATGGGACAGCTGGAAGATGAATTAATATGTGCTTCTTTTCTAGTTGTGATTTTTATGTATTAACAGACAAATACTGTGTCAGGAGAAAGCACTTAATTTTGGACTTAGAGCAGTGCATCATCAGAACTGCATTTTCTTATTTTCTATATTTACCTTTTACTGGACTTGGGGCTGTAAAACTGATATTCTTGTAATAAAAGAAAACAAAGTAGCACCACGTTGTGATGCTGAGCAAACATCATACCGTGTCAATAACCTTGGTGATAAATCACCTTTTGGTATAAGATTCCAAGGTGAAGGCAGACCTTGCCAGGGGGCATTAGATTGTTTTGTGGCTGCAGGTGCTATCTAAAGATGGCATGCTTCTGCACCTACCTTGCTGAATAGCAAACCATGCAATTAAAAGTTCGAGTAAGTTGTACTGAAGCCGAACAAACACAGATCCCATGATTGGTGGATATTTTGAATGCAGAGCGCACCCTTGCTTCGGGCATGATAAGGAACTGATGTAAGCCTGGTAGAAACAGCATTAAGTCCCATTAGCAGTTACACAATGCCATTTTCCTGCCATCTCAATATGTTGTTGAAGCTCCCGTTCCCCTTTACATCAGATGGTATCATCCAACAATCCCAATCAGAATGAAAAATCCAATATCATGCAGCCAGGACTTGGCTAAATCACACACCATTATACCACATCTGTATTCCTTTTTCTGAAATGTAATGGAGACGGAAATCAACCGTGTAATGCTTCCTGCATAAATGGCAATTTATCGCATTTCAATTGATGAAGAAAGTGTCATGGGGCATGAAACATGCAAAATTGATTTGCGCGAAAAGACTATCTGCCTTGCACCACAATGGTTGCAGCATCAAAACCATAACTTTGTCATTAATCTTTTTCCTTACCTGCTTGTCCCCCACTGCAACAGCAGGTGTGACCCCCCACCCCCCCCCCCCCCCCAAACCGCAAACCCCAGCCATTTAATCCTCCTTGGGAGGCCAGCAATGAGAGAAAAAGACAAATAAAGGATCAATAAGAAAAAAGGTACTGTGGAAAATTTCTTTCCAAGCCCCTAGTGGAAAGAGTTAACAAGTTTTAAATTGAAAAAATGTTTTGAAAGTATATAATCCTTGACACGTGGAGAACTCATAGTATGTTCTTATTTTGTCAGCATCATTTAAAAAAGTTGGAAGGTCGCCGTTTAGATTATGATTACAAAAAGAAACGCCACGGTAAGATCCCGGATGAAGAAATAAGACAAGCTATAGATAAATTTGAAGAGTCTAAGGAGCTCGCTGAGATCAGTATGTTCAACTTTTTGGAAAATGATGTAAGTTGACAAAATATGCATATTTACAGAAACCACTCGTGTTTTCCTTGAGCCATTTGCAACTTACCCAAGCCAGCTGCACATTAAATTGTGTAAACTGTACACAAGTATCATTCAGATTATTAATCTCAATTCATGGATCTGTGGGAAGGTGGTAATATCATTGGACAAATGATCTAGATGGCAGGGCTAATGCTCTCAGGACATGAGTTTAAATCCCACCATGGCAGCTGGAGGAGATTAAATTCAATTAATTAAGAAATCTGGCATAAAAATGGTTAGTCACAATAACTATGATCAAGAGCTACAGGGTGGTCATAACTCCTTTCCTGTTCACCGTTGTGCTTTCAAGGTAATATGCCAACCGAGCCTACATTTTTGACCCTTGATTAATTTGTTAGGCCATTTCAGAGGGCATTCAATTATACCAAAGCACAACTCAATAGTTGAACAAGAATCAAATTGGAGAGACAAACTGACATCAACCTTGACACCAGAAATAACAAAAGCACACAGTGCCTAGTCAGTCTTGCCGATTGACATCTGGGGGCTTGTGCCCAAATTGGGAGAGCTAGACACATACAAACCAAGCAACAGCCTGACATCATCATACACACACCTTACAGTCAATATCACAGGACTCCTCCTCCATCATCCCTGAGTATGTCCTGTGTCATTGGAAAGACAAACTCATCAGAGATAACACCACAGTGTGTGTAGTCATTGGGAGTGGACCTAGGCATCCTCATCATTAACTCTGGAACTTTTGAAGTTTCAACATGTCAAATCAAACAAGAACTTCATTCCTGCTGATTACCACCTACCGTCCTCTCTCAGCTGATGAATGAATGCTCCTCTGTGGTGAACAGTACATGGAAGAAACATTAAAAGCAGTAAAGGCCCAGTGTGGACCTTGAGTGGGAGGGGTCTTCAACGTCCATCACCAACAGTGGCTGAGTAGCACCAACACTGACCAAAGAGGTTAAATTCTGGTGAATATATCAGCCAGGCTAGGCTTGTGGCAGAAGGTGAGAGAACCAACAAAGATGGAAAAAAACCTTCTTGATCTCATCCTCAACAATCAACCTGTCACGGGTGTATCTATCCAAAAGCAATATTGGTTCTGGTAGAGACAAAGTCCTGTCTTCACATTGAGGATATTACCACCATACGATTGATTCAGATAAGATGCAATGGCTGAAAATTGGGTACCCCTGAGGAATTACAAGCCATCAGCTGCAGCAGAATTGTGGTCAGCCACAATCTACAACCTCATGGTACAGCATATCCATTACCATCAAGGCATGGTACCAACTCTTGCTCAACGAAGGAGGTAGAGAACATGCCAGGAGCAGCACCTGGCATAACTGAAGATGTGATGCCAATCTGGTGAAGTTACAATGCAGGACTGTGTCAATACTAACCAGCAGAATCTATCAATGGAGTTATGCGATTCCAGAATCAACAGATCAGATCAAACTGCTGTTTTCAGTGGAAAAGCTGGTCGGAATCATGTATACAAGGTGATGGGTATGATAGTCGAAGACCAAATATCTTGTCCCTAGGCCATCTCTGCAGGAGTTCCTCAGTGTAGTGTAGTAAGGCAAACGTTCTTCTGCTGTTTCACCTAGATCTTGCCTCCATCATAAGGTCAGATGTGAGGGTCTTTGCTGACGATTGCATAATGTTCAGCACCATTTGCAACTTATCAAATATTGAAACACTCTGCCCACATGCAACAAGATCTGGACAACATTCAGTCTTGGACTAACAATTGGCAAGTAAAATTTATGCCATTCAAGTACCAGGCAATGCCTATCTCAAAAAAAAATTCAAACCATATTCTCTTGACATCCAACAGAAATGCCAAAACTGCATGACCTGCTGTCAGTATCCTAAAGGATCACAATTGACCAGAAACTAGACGAGTCATGCAAATACTGTGGTTGCAAAATAGATTAGAGGTGGGCAACTCTGTGTCATAAGGAATAAGATAGAATACTCTGCAATGGACTGATGAGCACCACTCATTCAAGAGGATAGATACCACCCAGGGAAAAGCAGCCCGCTTGATTGGCACCCCATCCACCTTAAATTGTCATTCCCTCCATCACTAAACAGTGGCAGCGATACACACCATCTCCAGGGTGCATCACAACAATTCAGGAAACACTCTTCAATCAACACTTTCTAAACCCACAACCTCTACTACCTAGAAGTACAAAGGCAGTAGACACATGGTAACATCATTGCCTTAAAACCTGCCTCCCAAATTATGAGTTGGAAATATATCAACATTCTTTCACTGTCGTTAGATCACAAACCTGGACGACTCTCCCTAACAGCACTGTGAGCTTCCGCACAGCAGATGGAATGCAACATTTCAAAAGGGGAGCTTACCACCACCTTCTCCAGGGCAATAATAAATGACAATAAATGTGGACTTAGACAGTGATGCTTATTTTCCATGAATTGAATAATTGTTCTGAAGTGAACTGGTAAATAAAGTGAAGAAAAATATTGTGGGTATGAGGTTCTTTGAAGTACTACTTATTCTTTTGGAGAAAGTATTAGTCTTGAGAGAACTGTTAATGAAGTCCCTTACCAAAAATAGAGGCCAAGGAGTTATCTCCCTCCAAGGCTGTGTGAAAACAGTCGCTGAGGTTGGATTCTAAGCCTGATACATGGCATTGTGAGCTTCATGATTTCAAACCAGCCTTTGACCTGGTCCAGAATCACATGAGACAATGCTAAGATGTTTTCATTCCTTGCTGGCAGCCTGTTAGCATTAGCTCAGTGGTAGCATTCTCTCTTCTAAGTTTCAAGGTTGTGGGTTCATATTCCAAACCAGAGATCTCCATGAACCATCACAGAGGGAGTGCTGCGCTGTTGAAGGTGCTATCCTTTGAGAAAACATGTTAAACTGAAGTCCCACCAAGCTCACTTCAGGTGGTCATAAAGATCCCATTTTAAAGAAGAGTGGAGGCTCCTAAATTAATTTAACATTTATAACACAATAAAATGCTCAAAATGACCTTTCAACAGGAAATATTTGCTATTTATTTTTGTTTTTGCTCATGGAACCTGCTATGCACTACTTGGTTTCTTCAACAGTGACTACTTTCGACAAGAAATTGACTCGTTGGTTATATAATGTGTTTTGCAAAGTCTCGAGTTTGTAGATAGCACTAGATGAATTCAAGTTCTTTGTTTCCATTGCTTATCCTTTTAATGTTACATTATGTTTGGTTTGTGTGTATTGATCTGCTGTGGATTTTTGGTTATTGCAAAATTAAATCTGACGTTTGTTTTGTTTGAAAAAAAGTTCTATTTTAACTTCAATTAATTAACACAGTGCTAAACAGGTGTGGAATTTAAAGAAATATTATAATACAGATTTTCTCAAAGTGCTGGTCTGGACCCCAAGTGGGGTCACATGATAAAAGTTTGGGGCCACAGGGCCTGAGTCTCCAATGGCCAAACCTCCTCCTCCCCCCCACCCCCCCCCCTCCCCCCCCACCCATCTTCTCCCCTTCCACTACTCACTGAGGGATTGCAACCACTTTCAAGCCTCCACATGGGGTCACACCGGGTAAACATCTGGGAAGCACTGCTATAATCATACCTCAATAAAGGCGAATACTGAATTGGGTTGTTTTTTACACATAAAATTGCTACAAAATGTTATCACAGAACATGATTTGCTGTTGAATTAAATAAGTTCTTGAGATAAAGATTGTGATATCATTTAGAGATTTTTGCATTTACAGTGCAGCATTTGATCTTTGGAGTCTATTAGTTCCTTAGAAGATTGTCTTTTATAAAAGGCTTGTGTTCTGACCATTTTAAATTTCAATTTACCTACAACAAGAAAAATTCGATAATGATTCTAATATGAGAAAGTTTCATCAGTAGGTGAGCAATACGTGGAAAGTTCAACTGAAATAGTGGTGTGTTGGTTAGAAAGTGAACACCTGCTTTATTGAGTAAAATGAAACTCCTGGTTAGCACAATAAATGCTGAGAGTGAAGCTTCTTGGAATTAAACTTCTGTCAACCTTCTTGTGCCTTGCGCTGTCCCAAAACTAATTTCAAGCTTGCTTAAATAGTTCTGATAACCAATTGTCTTACTTTGCTGAAGAAGTTTCCTGTTTCCTGCAGGTAGAGCAAATAAGCCAACTGTTGGCTCTAGTGGAAGCAGCATTGAACTATCACAAAGAATCCACAACAATTCTGGAGGAGCTACATAACACACTACAGCACAGGTGACATTGTGAATCATGTATGTTACTAGTCCTTCATCGCAGTTTGGTTCTTTGTCTTTTCATATTTAGGAAGGAAGTATAAGGATAAAACCCAAAGGATAAAAAGAAGCTCTGAAACTGATGTGGGTTGATGATTTTCACCTTTTGTGTTAATTGGAAATTAAAAGCTAATAATAGTCAAGTCAGCATAACTGTGCTCCCAGCAGGAAAATATGCTCACAAAAGTGAGTTGGAGAATCAGATTGATGTTTTCATATTCCCAATTCGTGTTTCCTCCAATGGTCTTTCACCCGGGCCACAAGCCATCAATTATGCCTTTAATTCCTTATTCTTTTTTCTGGCTGAATTTGCCACAGAATTCATTCAACCTCAATATTTCAAAAATGAAATTTCATTGCTCTAAAAAGGAAAGGATCCTTCCTCCCTACAGAAGATATTTATCTATTCTCTTTACTTATACCATTTTAAATTTGCTTTGAATCATTTTAATCACAGCCTCTCTTAAATTTCATCTGTTTTTCCTGTTTCATTCAACAGATATTATTTTTATCCTACATCACACTCGAGCTAGTTTGGGGTTAGCAGCGTAGTTAACATTCTTAACAAAGTACTAGACTCTCTTTTTAAGAAGCAATGAGTTTAACTGTCAATCTAAATCCTCCCTGGAGTTTAATTCTTCCCATTGGACAAGCAGTCTGCAATTAAGCCAGAAGACACAAGAATGCAACATCAAATACAGTGGTCTGAAGTTTCTCTTTTCAGATTTGGTGAACATAATCCTTTTTTTCCCATTTCAGACTCACTAAATTAGAGGAGATAAGAATTTCAAACACTCATTTAGATAACATCATCTCAAGCCGAATGCTGATAAATTCTCAATAAAGCATGTATGTACCAAGCACAGTGTGTCATAATGTCAAAGAACAAAACTGAGCAGAGTCAGTCCCATTCTGGAAGTAAAACTAAACCAGATTGTGGTCAGCTGTACTTAGGGGAACAGTGGAAGAGCTGATAGTTTTGGACTTAAAAATGTATATAAACGCACCTATATGTGCCTAGAAATCTGCAACATTACTACCAATGTGACTCATAATCAAAGTGTACTCTGGATTCAATAATGTTGAAATGGATAGCTATATTAGCATGTGAGCATGAGATGGCATACTGTCGAGAAAATATTTTCTTATTCGATGTGAAGATGAATAACTGGTTCTGAGATTGGCAGTGGAAAATTAAACAATATCTTGAGTAAATCCTTGAGGTATGTTCCAAGTGTAAAATTAAAGAAAAATTATTTGACCACAAATACCTTTAATTTAGCTATCGAATGTTTCTTCACATCCACGTATGTGGGAAAATTACTTCATGGTCTCAGTCTGGAAGCAATAGATTAGTACAAATCCTGGCATTGTAAAATCTCTGAACCATTACTAGAGAGGCAAATTTCAACCTGGTTACACTCAGAACATAGAGGTGAAAGTACATGTGTGACCGTTTTTAAATTATCATAACTTGAGTTTATATCCAATTTAAACCCCTTTCCATAGTCAGAACATAGCAGCTAGGCCACTGGATGTTAATGAATTCAATACATTCTTTAAAAGAAACAGTGTAAAAATATAGAGACCAGGCCCAATGAATTCAGAAACTCGCTAAGTTCTTGAACTGCATTGAAAAATACGAAAGGACCCTTTTTTTAAACATGATGGTTCTGGTGAAGAGATTCCACACAGCCTGCAAATCTGAAACTCCAGCACACAGTGCATGATGTTCTGAGAATTTAAACTTTGTTCTACAGGACCTTAGTCAAACCCTATTTGGATTGTTGTGTTTAACTTTGGGAATTGCACTCAGAAATGATAAATCACCTCTTTGTAGAATGTTGATACTGTGCATTAGAGGGTTAAATTGTGATGACAGTTTGCTTTGCACTTGGTTTATATTCCCATGCGTATAGAATGTTAAGGGGTTATCCAAACAAAACGTGTTAACATGCTAACAGGACTGAATAAGGTACATATAGAGAAATGATTTCCTCTAATGGGAAAATCAAAAGTGAAAGGATGTAACCGAGCTCTAAATCTACGTGTATTTCATGGTGAAAATCAGGAAGTATTTTTCACACAAAACTAGTTGAAATGTGGAACTATGACCCCTCCTGTAAGGCCACTGGATGCTGAGAGAATTTGAGCTGTCAAGATTTACAGAGGGAGGTTTTTGTTAGGCAGGGATTTAAGATACATGGAGCTAAGGAAAGTAATTGGTGTTAAGGTGCTAGGATCTCATTGAATGGTGGTGTAGACTCATTGGACTGATGGTTTACAGCTCCCTAATCGGGGAAAGTCATTTACAGTATAAGGTGGAATTTCAAATGCGTGCCTTTCAGTGGATAACCTTCCCCCTCCCGGTTCCAAAGAAGGAAAATTAATTGGCCTGTGTAGTAACCATACGGGAGTATATGCCATTTGTTTTTTCTAAGTCTTTATTATTTTTGCCTTTTTCTTAAAGGATAAACACAGCCTCTAGCCGGCCGAAGCGTGAATTTAAGCCCAAGCCTGTAGTTGCCCCATCTTTTGAGCCCATTGATAACCAGCAACAAAATGGTCTTTCATATGCTTCTTCGTTCAAGTCATCTGGTAGGAATATTTACTTGTGAATAGATGAAGATTGTGAATAAATGAAGATAATTGAAGTGTTTTGATGATCATACACATGCGTTATTACCATGTTGCCATTCTGCAAGATTATAAAGTGTATTTTACCACACGGAGGGAATATAACAGCAATTGTGCATTGTTTATAAGACCATTAAGTGTTGGAACAGAATTAGGCCATTCAGCCCATTGAGTCTGCTCTGCCATTCGATCAAGGCTGACATGTTTCTCAACCCCATTCTCCTGCCTTCTTCCTGTAACTCTTGATTCCGTTACTAACCAAGAACCTTTCTCTGTCTTAAATACACTCAATGACTTGCACTCTCTAAACCCTATGCATCTGCCCTTCGATGTTCAGAATACTTGATATTCTACAGAATATTATCAATTTTAATGATAATGTTAAGTTTTATTTCTGTACTGAAGTTGCAATTATTTAATTTGCTAAAATTAGTGGTTTATATTTGTTGGTTTCCATCATACTAGAAGCATCTTTTAAGCTTAATCCATCATTTCCCTTCTATTATCATTTAGCCAAATCATCCCCATTCAGGTTCCTGCGCAGGTCAAAACATACATTTTCACCTTGTGAGTAGTTTCTTAAGCTGACAAGTGTGTGATGCACCCCTCTTTGTGCATGTTTGACCATTACCTAACTTTGCTGGTTTTGGACTAATTAGTCATGTAATGTCAGTTCTGTGATAGCAAATAGAACGTGATTTTGTGGATCTGTTGTAGAATTGGCTAAATAACCTATCTTGGTATTGTACCAGGGAATTTTTTTTCCCAACCAAATAAAAATCCTACATTATTTTCCTTAATTTTTACTATGTTTTGAAGTCCATTCTCATGATTTCAGATGATGAGTGAACTTCAGTTGAGTTGGGGGGATCAAGAATGTGAGACATACAGGGAGATGGTTTTGGCATTTGTCAACTTTCGCTGAAGAACTAACTTGAGAAAAACTTAGGGACCTGGACAAAGCACGTCTCATTGCTCATGTTTTCTGAGTTTTCTCCCCCCTCAAAAAGGAACAATTTTCGTGTCTTGCTGTGAAATATCTTAAATATTTAAATATTAATTATTGATTGAATGAAGCTTGAATGCTCAAATTTGTCACAGAATGGGATGTAATTTGATCTTTTCTTCCCCACTGTTATCTCCAGCTTCTTGTACACAAGTGGATCAACCTTGCTGTAAAGCTCTTTATGACTTTGATCCTGAAAACGAAGGGGAGCTTGGTTTCAAGGAAGGTGACATCATCACGCTGACAAATCAGATCGATGAGAATTGGTTTGAAGGCATGTTAGACGGTGAATCTGGCTTCTTTCCTATTAATTATGTTCAAGTGATTGTGCCTTTGCCACAGTGAAAACTGCCTTTGGTCCATTTTTGTAAATTCTCGGAGATCAACTCTTGTTGAAAGCTGACTAAGCACAGACATTTCATCGGTGTGGCATTCTGTGAAAGCCTTGCTATTTGATCAACTTTTGTACTTGTCTTCTATTTGTGTATTTATTTTTTTACATGTTCCATTTGTATTGAGAATGTTTACGTCATTTGCTACAAGAGTAATGCAAATCTAACCTATTTCCGCGATGAAGTTTACAGTTTCTAAGTATATGGCTTTATCTATTTAACTTTATTTGTTTGCCCTGAGCATCCTGTTGCCGATTACAATGCAGAAATTTTCTATCTAGCTGTAATGAAGAATATTCTTGATACAGTTTAGTTATTGTGGTTATAATTAACTGTTTTTTTTGTTCCTGACAAATGTTGTTGAGCCATTTGATTTGGCAGTGTAACTTATTGTTATGCGATAAGATGTCATAATAAATGTGTGAACAAAAAAACTGTAATTTAAGTCGCTTTAGCTTTTTTGTTGTGTAGCTTTTTGTCATGTATGTATTTGACTTTTATATATCTTGATTATTTTAGGAGTTGAATGTATTTTATTTTCATCTAAGGGCCACTGACTATATTTAAGATACACATAATACTCTAGGGTTCCGAAACAAAAACAGAAATTGCTAGAAAAGCTTGGCACGTCTGGCAACATCTATGGAGAGAAATCAGACTGATCAGTTCTGAGGAAGGGTCACTGGACCCGAAATGTTAACTCTGATTTCTCTTTGCAGATGCTGCCAGACCTGTTGAGCTTTTCCAGGAATTTCTGTTTTTGCTTCTGATTTCCAGCGTTCTCAGTTCTTTTAGTTTTTTCTCTAGGGTTCTGCCCAGTTAACAGGAAAAGCTTCAGCAGATCCTAATGGTACAAGATTGTTAATGTGAAAGGCATTATGATGTTTGTCACTGAAGTAGTGCTGCAGAGGACTTCAACATAGAGATTCAATTCCCTACTCTGCCCAGTTTCTGATCTAATCTGCACTGTGCTGTGGATGTTGGGTGAAGGCTTTGATGTTGAAAGGCTGGGGAGAATAGAATGTCACAATTGAACATTGATGCAAGTCTGGAAGCAAAGCAAATATCTCCTCTCTTGCCCCTCCTCCAAAAATCAGACATGGGTCCACAAGAGTGAATAATTGGAGATAACTGGCTTGAAATTAAACTTGCCATTAAAAATGCTGTAAGACCTATGTTCCCCGATAGCTCAAATTGTTATTTTTGCCGACACATTTTTAAACATTTTTTTTGCCAACATGCTTTTAAACCAAAGGCCCATAGTGGTTTAATGGGATAGCCTTCTTGCTTCTGAGGCAGAAAGGCATGGGTTCAAGTGCCACTCAAGAAACTTTAGCATCAAATCCCGGCAGTACTGAGAAAGTGTGGCGTTGCAGGAAATGCTATCTCTCAGATGAGGCACATGGCAAAGAAAAGCTGTGTAACTCCTGCTAATTTTCTGGCCAATATTTACCACTGGGGAGGCAATGACCTAGTGGTATTATCATTGGACTGTTAATCCAGAGACCCAGATAATGTTCTGGGGATCCAGGTTCGAATCCTGCCACAGCAGATGGTCAAATTTGCATTCAATAAAATACCTGGAATTAAGAATTCAGTGATGACCGTGAATCCATTGTCGATTGTCAGAAAAATCCATCTGGTTCACTGATGTCCTTTAGGGAAGGAAATCTGCCATCCTTACCTGGTCTGGCGTACATGTGACTCCAGACCCACAGCAATGTGGTTGACTCTAAACTGCCCTCTGGGCAATTAGGGATGGGCAATAAATACTGCCCCAGACAGCGACACCCTCATCCCATGAATGAATTAAAAAAAACTCAGTCAACATGACCTTAAAGGAAAAACAGATGATGTGGTCATAATCACATTTCTGTTTGTGGGAGCTTGCTGCACATAAATTGATTGTGCTTCTTGAAAAACAACAGTGATTACACTGGAGAGATAGTAGGAACTGCGGATGCTGGAGAATCCGAGACAACAAGGTGCAGGGCTGGATGAACACAGCAGGCCAAGCAGCATCATAGGAGCAGAGAGGCTGACGTTTCGGGCCTAGACCCTTCATCAGAAAAGGGGGAGGGGAAGGGGGTTCTGAAATAAATAGGGAGAGAGTGGGAGGCGGAAAGAAGATGGATAGAGGAGAGGATAGGTGGAGAGGAAACAAACAGGTCGAAGAGGCGGGGATGGAGCCAGTAAAGGTGAGTGTAGGTGGGGAGTTAGGGAGGGGATAGGTCAGTCCAGGGAGGACGGACAGGTCAAGGGGGCGGAATAAGGTTAGTAGGTAGGAGATGGGGGTGCGGCTTGAGGTGGGAGGAGGGGATAGGTGGGAGGAAGGACAGGTTAGGGAGGCGGGGACAAGCTGGGCTGGTTTTGGGATGCGGTAGGGGGAGGGGAGATTTTGAAGCTTGTGAAATCCACATTGATACCATCGGGCCTAAAGGCCCTCCGCTTCTTCCTGTCCCGCAGGCCCAACCAGTCCCCCTCCGCTGACACCATCATCCGCTTAGCCGAACTCGTCCTCACCCTCAACAACTTCTCTTTCAATTCCTCCCACTTCCTACAGGCAAAGGGGGTGGTCATGGGTACCCGCATGGGCCCAAGCTATGCCTGCCTCTTTGTAGATTACGTGGAACAATCCCTGTTCCGTACCTACACTGGCCCTAAACCCCACCTCTTCCTCCGTTACATTGATAACTGTATCGGCGCCGCCTCGTGCTCCCACGAGGAGCTCGAACAGTTCATCCACTTCACCAACACCTTCCACCCCAACCTTAAGTTTACCTGGACCATCTCTAATATTGCTCTCTCCTTCCTGGACCTCTCTGTCTCCATATCGGGCAACCACCTCGAAACCGATATCCATTTCAAGCCCACCGACTCCCACAGCTACCTAGAATACACCTCCTCCCACCCACCTTCCTGCAAAAATGCCATCTCCTATTCCCAATTCCTTCACCTCCGCCACATCTGCTCCCAGGATGAGGCATTCCACTCCCGTACATCTCAGATGTCCTCGTTTTTCAAGGACCACAACTTCCCCCCCCTCAGTGGTCAAGAACGCCCTCCAACGTGTCTCCCACATTTCCCGCAACTCATCCCTTACACCCCGTCCCCGCAATAACAACCAAAAAAGAATCCCCCTCGTCCTCACGTACCACCCCACCAACCTCCGGATCCAACGCATCATCCTCCGACACTTCCGCCATCTGCAATCCGACCCGACCACTAAAGACATTTTTCCCTCCCCACCCTTATCTGCTTTCCGGAGGGACCACTCTCTCTGTGACTCCCTTGTCCGCTCCACACTCCCCTCCAGCGCCACCACACCCGGCACTTTTCCCTGCAACCGCAGGAAGTGCTACACCTGCCCCCATACCTCCTCCCTCACCCCCATCCCAGGCCCAAGTGGAGGCTCGGGGACCACTTTGCAGAACACCTACGCTTGGTTCGCAATAAACAACTCCACCTCCCAGTCGCAAACCATTTCAACTCCCCCTCCCATTCCTCAGACGACATGTCCATCCTGGGCCTCCTGCAGTGCCACAGCGATGCCACCCGAAGGTTGCAGGAACAGCAACTCATATTCCGCTTGGGAACCCTGCAGCCCAATGGTATCAATGTGGATTTCACAAGCTTCAAAATCTCCCCTCCCCCTACCGCATCCCAAAACCAGCCCAGCTCGTCCCCGCCTCCCTAACCTGTCCTTCCTCCCACCTATCCCCTCCTCCCACCTCAAGCCGCACCCCCATCTCCTACCTACTAACCTCATCCCGCCCCCTTGACCTGTCCGTCCTCCCTGGACTGACCTATCCCCTCCCTAACTCCCCACCTACACTCACCTTTACTGGCTCTATCCCCGCCTCTTTGACCTGTCTGTTTCCTCTCCACCTATCTTCTCCTCTATCCATCTTCTATCCGCCTCCCACTCTCTCCCTATTTATTTCAGAACCTCCTTCCCCTCCCCAATTTCTGATGAAGGGTCTAGGCCCGAAACGTCAGCTTTCCTGCTCCTCTGATGCTGCTTGGCCTGCTGTGTTCATCCAGCTCTGCCCCTTGTTGTCTCAGTGATTACACTGCATCGACTGACTGGAGAATTAGGGTAGCACACGTTCCTTTCCTTTTTGACGATACTGTGAAAGGCAGATAAACTAACTTCATACATATCGGTATGTGGTTTCTGATTGCTGCTGTTTTTTGAGCATTTAATGCACGTACCAACATTGTGTCCACTGTTTTTTGCAGGTACTGATACATTTGCTTGAAACTATTCAACTGTAATATCAAAAAATGTGGAGGAATTTGGTACAGGCATAATAACAGTTCCTACAAAAACAATACCATTTGGAAAATATACATGGTCTTTTCTCTTATGCATTTTAATATTTGATGTTGCAGAAAGGGATGGTTTGCCTTCCCATCCCAGTAGGTTTGCCAACTGGGTCCCTACAACATCAGTTCTGTCACTCCTTCTCCGTCTTTGAGTGCAAATTTCTTAAATTCCTTCCCTGATAGCGTGCTTTCTTTTTATTCATTTATTCAATGGTGGGCATTGCAAGCTGGGCTATTAATTATTGCCATTCCTAGTTGCCCTTGAGAAGGTTGAGCTGCCTTCTCGAATACTGCAGTCCATGTGCTGTAGGTAGACCCACTGGTGTTAGGAAGGGAATACCAGGATTTTGACCTAGTGACACTGAAGGAACAATACATTTCACAATCAGGATGGTGAGTGGCTTGGAGGGGAAATTGCAGATGGTGGTGTTCACATGTGTCTGATGCCTTTATCCTTGTAGATGGTAGTGGTCACCTGTTTGGAAGGTGCTTCCTTAGAAGCCTTGGTGAAATTTTGCAGTGCATCTATAAATGGTATACACTGCTGCTCCTGAGTGTCAGTGGTGGATGGAATGAATGTTTGTGGAGATGGTGTAGTCAAGCGGGCTATTTTGTCCTGGTTTGTGTCAAACTTCTTCAGTGTTGTTGGAGCTGCACCCATCTAGGCAAGTGGGAATATTCCATCACACTCCTGACTTGTGCCTTCAAGATGGTGGACAGGGTTTGGGGAGTCAGCAGGTGCGTTACACACCACAGTATTCCCAGCCTCTGACCTGGTCTTATAACTACAGTATTTATATGGCTAGTCCATTCCAGTTTCTGGTCAATGGTAATCCCAAGATGTTGATAGCAGTGGATTCAGTGATGTTAATATCCCATTTAATTTTAAGGCAGGTTGGTTAGATTCTTTATTGCTGGAGAGGTCATTTCCTGGCATTTGTGTGGCCTGAAAGTTATTTGCCACTTGTCAGTCCAAGAGTAAATATTTCACAGATCTTGCTGCATTTGGGCATGGATTGATTCAGTATCTGAGGAGCTGTGAATAGTACTGAATCTGGTGCAATCATACCCACGTCTGACCTTATAATATAAGGAAGGTCATTGAAGAAGCAGCTGAAGATGTTT